TTTTTCTTACAATCAGGGGCCATAATTCAGGAAGTTACGATCTGATATGCGCAAATATCGAAAGGAACCAAGATGTTTGGGTTATAAACATGTATTTCAAGTTCAATCAAAATCGTGATTTTTCGTACAATCAGGGGTCATAATCCACGAAGTTTCGATCTTATAAATGCCGATATCGAAAGGAACCAAGATCCTTTGGAGATAACCCTATATTTCAAGTTTCGTCAAAATCGGATAAGAATTGTGACCTGTAGAGTGTCCACAAACAAATTGTGGACGGACAGACGGACGGACAGGGGCGGCGACAATATACGTCCACATGAAAATGTGGGCGTATAAAAATGATAATTATATGAATAATAATAATAATATCAATATAAAATGCAAAACAGTAGCATCGTCGTTGTCATAGCAAGTAAATTAGTGTTAAACCTTTAAACAATTCTTAGCGAATTGTGAAACTTTACAAATTGAGGATAACAAACACATATGCAGTTAAAAATCACAAAACTTTTAAAACCACCTTTGAAAACAAAAAACAAAATGCAAAACATTAGCATCGCCATTGTCATAGCCAGTAAATTAGTGTTAAACCTTTAAACAATTTTTAGCGATTTGTGAAACTTTACAAATCGAGGATAACAAACAGATATGCAGTTAAAAATCACAAAACTTTCAAGTTATAGTAGATGCGAAACAATCCTACTACTCTAATAAAATACAAAACAGTAGTAATAAGGTCAAGGAAATATTTCGTGTTTCTAATTCATTATCAAATCACAACTATGGAGCAACAATTCTGCCAAATTCTGACAATGATCAACAACTTGCCGATAAGTTTTCGTCGTACTTTCTGACCAAAATATCCACAATTCGAGACGACCTTTCATCAAAATTGGATAAAGAGGAGATAACCCCTGCAGTAACACCATTGTCTTTTCCTCCTCCACTTACTTTCTTTAATAATGTTAGTGAATCCGAATTGTCGAAGTTAATCCTAAGCTGTTCCTCAAAATCGTGTCCATTAGATCCAATCCCTACCAAGTTTTTGAAGGATTGTCTACCAGCATTAATCAGTGTCATCACCAACATTATCAACTCTTCAATTCGGGAAAATGTTTTTCCAGATATCTTTAAGGCAGCTATAATATTTACACTTATTAAGAAGAAAACATTAGACCCCGAAATTGAGAAAAATTATAGGCCCGTGTCAAACTTAAGTTTTGTATCCAAAGTCCTGGAACGTGTTATTTCTAAACAAATATCATCTCATATAAGGGATCACGATCTACTGGAATCTTTTCAGAGTGCATACAGGAAGAACCATAGCACTGAAACGGCATTACTAAGAGTTCATAATGATATTCACACATCTATGGATAATCATAACTGTGTTTTACTGATACTGTTAGACCTATCAGCCGTCTTCAGGGTGCATACAGGAAGAACCATAGCACTGAAACGGCATTACTAAGAGTTCATAATGATATTCACACAACTATGGATAATCATAACTGTGTTTTACTGATACTGTTAGACCTATCAGCCGCCTTCGACACAGTGGATCACCATATTCTGTTAGACCGGTTTGAAACGGACTTTGGAATAAAAGACAATGCACTGCACCTCATCCAATCATACATCAGCAATAGAACACAAAGGGTTCTGGTTGGAAACAGCTCTTCTGCTGAATCCTTGCTTCAATTTGGAGTTCCGCAAAGGTCAGTGCTAGGGCCTATACTGTTCAGTCTGTATACATCCCCACTAGGCGTTCTGGTTCGCAAATTCGGACTTGAATTTCACTTTTACGCTGACGACACCCAACTGTATATTTCCTTCAAGCCATCAGATCCCGACAGTTTTAAACTATTAATATTGAAAAATGTATAGATGATATAAAACTCTGGATGTCGCAGAATTTCCTTAAACTTAACGATGACAAAACTGAGTACTTGGTAATTGGTTCAAAACACAACCTCTCAAAGCTAGATGGTGATCTTTCTGTTCGTGTTGGTGAGTCATCCATCGCTAATTCTACTGCAGCCCGAACATTGGTGTAATTTTCGATTCTAACATGAATATGGAGTCCCAGATTAACAATGTGTGTAAAGTTGGCTACTTTCATTTGAGGAACATTGCCAAAATTAAGAAGTTTATAACAATTGATGCAACAAAAACACTTATACAAGCCCTAGTTATCTCTAGACTAGATAATTTTTAATTCATTGCTGTCAGGTGTTCCAAATAAATCGTTGGACAGACCACAAAAACTACAAAATTCAGCGGCTCGTCTCATCTCAGACTGTTCTAGATATGACCATATAACTCCAATACTGTTTAATCTCCATTGGCTCCCAATAACTTATAGAATTTACCAAAGCCTTTTATTAACTGTGATACAGTCTTTTTATCCAAATTCTTAACTTAGTTGTTTTTATATTTCCATTTTGGTTCAGTAATTTTTATATATTCTTATTTTTGCCTTTGACTATTTACATGTATTTTTTATTCTTATTTATTTTATCTTTTTTAAGTTTGTAAAGAGCATCTGGGCACTTAGGTGAAAGATGCGCTATATAAATACACCATAATAATAATAATAATAATAATAATAAAAACCACATTTAAAAAGATAGGTTGCCAAGCAACGAAAGATACGCCCACAGCAGCTAAGAGTTGTCACACATTTTTTCTATTGTCGGTAATGAAACATTTATAACACACTAAAATCTGATAAAGAGCAACAACTCATTAACTAATTATCAGATTAATTAGTTCTGTCCCATGCTAATGTTTAGTATACGAAACATTTAATATCATGGATTTAGCTGATTCCAGTTATCAAACTTCATTGAAAATCAATATACTTGTTCGTCTCAAGACCTTAAACTCTGTGTATCAATCTAAAGTCAATCGGATGATAACCTTGGTCTCTAGAGCATTCACAAGATTTTTCAAAGTAATCAAGGGCCATAACTCTGGCAGTAATTATCGGAAATCATTGAAAATCACTGGACTTCTTCGTCTCACAACCGTAAACACTGTGTACAAATTTAAAGTCAATCAGATATCAACTTTAGCCTCTAAAGCATCCACAAGATTTTTCAAAGTGATCAAGGGCCATAACTCTGGCAGTAATTATCGGAAATCGCTGAAAATCAATAGGCTTCTTTATCTCATGACCTTAAACACTATATAAATTTAAAGTCAATTCTGGACGCCGGACGGACGGACGGACGGACGGGGGTGACAACAATATACGACCACATTTCAATGTGGGCGTATAAAAACAAAACTGCAATCCCTGACTCAATAGTGAGAGAGGGAGACTTCGATTATTTTCCAATTGACAAAAGGCAGTTTTATAAAGCAGAAATCAAGTCAATGAATTATAACTATTGACATAAATTACCCTTCATATGTGGGATTAATCTAAGACTGTGTTAGGAAAAATAGAAATAAACGAAATACGTAATAATAATAACAGAAAGTAAGTAAAAATTAAATGAAACCTTAGAGTAACACCTATAGTTAACTAATCTAATCTTCATCACATCTTCCTCAAAAAATGGAAAAATCTGACAAATATATAAAACAATTATTCGATTCAACCACGCTGTCTTAAAATTTTTTTTAACAACTCCTCTCCCTAAATAATATATATATACATAATATATATTAACGCAAATGGTTGTATATACATAGTTAAAATGTCAAAATAAGCACATATTATATAAATATAATAAAATGTATGAAAATGTACAGTATATATATATAATAGGTTTTAGTTTTGCATACACAAGCATACATTTGTTAATAAACAACATTAGAGAAACAAGCCAAAGTTACGCATAAAATTGAAAATAAAATACCATTTGATCGAGATTAATACCTGTTTGACATGTTATTGTACATCTAGGTTGAGGTTGTCGAGCGGAATATGAGACAGTATATGTTTTTAAAATCATGAGTGTTGTAGTTTGTCTAGGGTTTCCCTTCGTTCATTTGAATGTAAAGAACATCGCAGGAGGTAGTGATCGGGATCTTCAAATATATGACTGCAGAGATACGCGGGACTGTTAGCGACATGTCTAAGGAATTTGTCACTCTGCGGGTCAAAGCACCAGAGTCTTAGTTTACTATGGATTATGTGGATCTTCCACTGACCGTTATAGTAAAAGGGAGCAACTTTGTAAGGAATTTGTGACTCTGCAGGTCAGAGCACCAGAGTCTTAGTTTACTATGGATTATTTGGAGCTTCCGCTGACCGCTATAGTAAAAGGGAGCAACTTTTATATCTGATTTGGAGAGATGGTCGGAGAATTCTAAAGTTTTTTCCACTCTCTCATACCGGATGGGATAAATGATTTTAGTATTACATCGAATTTATTTTATTTCATCTTCGTTCCGAAGGGAATATTTATTTGTTGGTTCAGGATTTATGAGATTCTTCAGATTAGGAGGGGTTAGGTTATTGATAATTTTGAATAGTAGTTTTAATTTGTGTCGAGTTCGTCTTTCTTTGGGTGAAGAGAAACATGGCTGGTGCCCTTAACTGTTCCACAAATGGTGCGTAGTGCGTGAAGCTGAAGGTATTCGAGATTATCACATAAGTGGTCAGTGTACCCGTCCCAGATAACATCGGCATAATTAATGTGCGGCAGAACGAAGGAAGAATATAAGGTATTTAGTGATTTTCTATTTAAACGATATTTCAAGGATCGAAGGAAGTTTACTAATTCGGATACTTTACTAATTATCAATGTGGCTGTTGCATGATGTAACTGAATAAACATCAACGAAAGCAGCAAAGTAAATTTTCATAAAAAGGATATTTACGTAAAGATACATGTAAGATTTAGATAAAGAACTAACGATTCTTGCTATAATAGTTCAAATTAATGAAAAATGAATATACTGAAGATTTCATTCAAATTACTTTATTCTGAGCGAAGCCATGAATGTATAGCGTAGATCGTTCATAATCGTAGCAACGGTACTTGATAACCGAGACCTAGCCTCGATTGTCCATTTAAATTTTTAAGTCTCGCAGATGTTTAAATCCAGTTAGTTGATTATAGGCTTGTCATGTTAATAAATGTCTAAATAATAGTTAATATAACATTTGAAGCTAACATAAGACCTGTAATAGACAGATTTAGTTTTACATATAATATAATTATGTAGGATGTCTAACGAAGAGTGTTTAGACAGATTGTCTTACTTATTATTGTCTTCATCGTGTTCGTTTAGTTTCTCATAAGAGTTTGGTCTTTGGTTCATCGTTTGTCTATCAAGTCTTGTATATGGTAATGTCATTGGTTCTGTATTGATACATTTAGGAGAGGTATGGTCAGCATTCCGTGGTTTACCATTGAAGTTTAGTTGCTGATACGGACGTAATTGTGTGATACGGGTATCTTTATTGAGCTTTTCATAGACATTTGGTACTGATGAGGGAGAGTTCATACACAGGGATGCTGTGTTGGCATCATTAAAATCATTATCACCAGAATCTTCTTCTTGACCTTCATCTTCGACCCCATTGTTTATATTTTCTTCCTGATCATAATCAGGTAGTCGGTGGACAATTATTGAAACTGGTCGTTCATAATCAGAAGATACATGTGTTGAAGAGGTAATTAAAGACTCCCTGTCAAGTACCACTGTTCTATTACTAGGCCTATTCAGAGTGGTAATATCTGTAGAAAACTGTTGCATAGCAAATTGTTCATCATGATGTTCAAGAGGAATGGTTCTTGTCTTAGGAGCCATCTCTGTAAATAGATCGAATTATAACATTATTTTTCAATCCTGGAAAGGGGTGAATCCCCGGAGAGAGAGAGAGAGAGAGAGAGAGAGAGAGAGAGAGAGAGAGAGAGAGAGAGAGAGATGGGGTTTAACGCCCACTCGACACAAATTTGGTCATTTCGGCACTACCATTCAATTTTATTTCAACATTTCGCTTGCGCGTAAGGGTCTTTGGCAATGGGAGGAAACTGGAGGACCCGGAGAAAACCCACGAGGTTGGACAGGCGACCCCACTCCATGTCACGTACAACCGGGGAATCGAAACCACATCACTTGACTCAATGGCAGACCTTATGATACAGCACGCACGTGCTAACCATTCGGCTATCTACTCCCCCCCCTACCGAATCTCTGGTAAACTAAACTTACTTGGGTGTCAACAGTAGTCCCAAATCTAGATCATATGTTTGCACAGTTAAATGTTCTATAAAAATCCCGTTAAAGCTGCCGTTAAATCTATTTTATTATGAAAATATATCACTTACTGTTAAAACATTTCTTGACAATAACTAAACCAATTATACAGAGAGCTATTATTAGACAGGGCACAATAACACATATGATGATAATAATTCCAGTAGGTGTAATTTCAACAGAAGTATTAATCAAGTCATTGGTAGCTGTAATAAGAAAGGTAACCTTTTGTTTAAAAGATTCCGTTTATTATCATAGACAATTGACACCTTTTGTCGTTGCTTTGAGGTTGATATGAATATTGCGGGTGCGGAGTAAGACGGTATGCCATACTATAAAGGTTAACGTATTTAGGTTTATGGGCATAGATTTGTGTAAAGTTTCAGACGTTACTCTTATTTTGCTCTTATTAATAATTTAACTTTTCTTGGTGGTTCATGCTATGCCCAAGAAAGGTCACCTGCACACGGGTCCTCGATTGCTAATTTATAAAAACGAATTAGGTTATTATGGAATAGCTCTGTAATAATAATATACGAACCCTGCGTTAGTGTGTGGCACACCCGCAATTCTCCATACTTGTTCTTTAAGTAAATACAGTATTTACCAATGTAATGTTTGGTAACAACATAAACAGAAAGACTAAGATTATAATGATGTGGTTTAGTTGTATTAATCAGGGTATAATTAATGTATCGGTAATGACGGTTAATCCCTACTGGTAATATCATCGATTCCATTTCTATTGAAGGTCTAGGATACCCAGTTATCTCCCTTACTATCATTATCTTTTCACCAACGTCAACTAAAGTGACGTCATCACTTGACATTGAGTTTTCTGCTGGTGGACAACAATCAGGGTCTGTCAATACTGTAAACGTAAATTAAAGTTAAACATTAAACCATTACATACATTATATTATACTATTACTAGCATTTGGATATGTATGGCAACCAATTCTATGCCCACCTTGAAAATTACTACATAGTGTCAGATTTCCACCTTCATTCTGAACATCAACACAATATTTCCCAACATACTCAATGTTTATAAACAGTGGATGTCAGGTTGTATTGGTGGGGTTTGGTAGTACTGAATTTGTATCTGTTGTGTAATCATTCCAACCTTTTACATATAGTCTGTTACAGTACAAGACCTTCACTAATATACAAAGTTGGACAGTTTGGAGGAAACCAACTGAGTAACTGAATATGTGAATATGTGAAGTTAATATTCAATAAATTACTCACTAGGTAGATCTAGGATAAAAGATGTTTGGTGTTTATTATCTGCAATAGTTGTTATTTCCATGGCTGTCGTCGTTTTAATAGAAGGTGGATTGGTAGATAGTGTAAAGGATACATTTTTGGTACCATGTATATTGTATACTGTGCATGTATAAACCCCATCATCTGATTCTTGTACATCTGGTAGATTGAGTTGTTGATTAGAACTCGGCATCTTCCCATCTTTATACCAACTGATAATACATGCTGGATTACAATCACTCGTACAATTAACTGTTAATTCCTCTCCTACACGTTTCGTTATTTCTTCACCAGGTTTTAGATTTGTATCATCATAGATTAATTGTATATCATATGGTCCATCTGTAATATAATTATAAGGTTTGGTAATCATAGATTAATGGTATATCATAATATGGCCTATCTGTAAAACAATATTTTATTACTTAATGAGTCAACAATATGTTTACATACTATATATATTGATACTATATAATTATATGCATTAAATTACTTACATATGATCACTGATACGTTTGATGACTGGGTATATTAAATTAGTAATATTTTTATAATATAAACTGTACGTATCAGATAGTAGTGGTGAGGTTTGGTTGTGTTTATCAACACAAAAAGTCAACTCGAGAAAATGTCCCTGTCTGGATTTTATCGTATTGAAAACAGACCTATTATTTAATTCTCGTGGACAACAAAATGGCGACAAGCATAACGAGAAGCATAGATCGATGAAATTTCAATCCGCTTCTTTGTGAATACTGAACGGAATTGAATCGTTTGTGGACTAATATGTCTAATAGAGGTTCATCTATTACAATATTATAACTTGCAAGTGATTCATGTTGCTTAAAATGGCCCATCGAGACTTGAACTGTGATTGTGGAACCCAACTGGTCATTTTGACCTTTAAGCAATACCCACAATCATTTCAACTTTTATATAATGTGCACAAATAACAATATATATAGTGTACACAAATAACAATATATATAGTGTACACAAATAACAATATATATATAGTGTACACAAATAACAATATATATAGTGTAAACAGATAACAATATATATCGTGTACAAAATCCCTCCCCTACCTCAACAACTGGCGATGAAGTTTCGGACCCCAATTAATGGACGAGAGCCTTTAAATAAACATACATGTGACAAAATTAACCCAGTTCCGCACATTAGTTTGTCGGTTATGTTGATAGAAAGTTCACGTTATTAACTGTTATAATTTGTTACGACAGTTTGTTGAATGGGATTTATCACATTGAAGTATGTGTAGTGTAAACAAATAACAATATATATATATAGTGTACACAAATAACAATATATATAGTGTGCACAAATAACAATATATATAGTGTACACAAATAACAATATATTATAGTGTACATAAAAAATATATATATTAAATACAAATGTAAATAAAACTCACACAGCGGTTGAATAGTAAACACTTCTGAAACACCTACTACATCTTTACATTCTTTATCTGTGGTAACTATATGAATGGAAAATATAAAATCATTTCATAACTAAATTAATGGGATGAATCAAAATCAGATCTCAACATACCAAAGCACGTAGAAATTCATACATCTAAAAACAAATAGCTACAACTTTTTTCTCGTTGGAAATTTCTACGGTGGCAATGTTGATACGATAGTGACAGAGATGTTTCCAAGGAATGGGAAGTAAAATAGCTATTTATTACTGCAGTTTATTAAAAATGTTCAACTTTGACTGACTCAATGCCTTACCAAAATGACCAAGGCACACTGCTGAACTATTTTACAAAAATAAACCATCGTACCTGTTGTGAGTGTAGCATCTTGTTTTAAATCCCGTAAAATAGTTTTACAATCCGGATCATATGTAGCTATACAGATTATATCATCTCCTTTATCATTTATATCAACATCTCTATCTTGTAGTATTCTACCATTATCATAATATATACCATGTTTAAACCATCTATATATCATAGGTAAATTATGATCAGTTCGTTTGGTTGTAGATGTTGCAATACAAGTCAGACTTATCTTCCCCTTTAATTCACCATTTTCTTTAATATGCTTTAAAACCGGTTGATGTTGGGCTTGTATAGATGTTGCTGGCTTATCTACGGTAATACAATATTACATAATAACATACTAAGTGAATCCTAATTTTGTTCAGATTGTACCACTAGTAGATCTATTACGTACACGTTTTAAAGTTCGTTTAATTTCATTGGCTTTCAATCAAATTCACACTGAGTAATTTTCTGCCGAAATATAGAAAAAACGTAAATGATCATGATGATTAAAGTGATGATAATAATAATAACATTTACCTGTTACAACGAGTTGTATACATGCTAATGAACCAACTGGTCCTTCTGTATAAATACCAGCATCATTTCTAGTCACGTTCACTATTTTAAAACTAAAGTGTTCTTCGGTATGGTTTATAACTTTATAACTTATATTATTAAAAAATTTCGATCCAACTAATATTGATCTGTTATTATGCATTACTTCTATCAGAGAACTGCTGTTTTGTAGATCAAATGTTAATGTAGCCTGTTTGGAAACTTGTACAGTAACTATGTCACACTCACATTTAACTGAAACCAGATAAAATAATTATATTAATTCTTGTCTATATATAAGATCACATTATAATTAATGTTGTCAGTTGTTTCACCACTATCTATAGGAAGGGGTGGTTCAATGAGAAAGACGCTGGATACCGGGTTTGTTCTGTGTGTATGCCATGTAAGTTCGTCGGGATTTTCTCGCGTGGTTTCCCCTTGTCAGTGGTGCAGGAGAGGAGGGGGGGGGGGCTGACAAAGAACAGATTCTGGTCTTTCAGATGGGACGATAACCTGAGAACCCTTGTACAAATGGATGTGCCCGTTAAGTAACCCTTGACAGTTGGAATTTGAAATTCGAAATAAGAGTAGGTCGTAGTATCGGTGTCCGCACATAATTTCACTCATAGCACACAGTATGGCGTATACCTGTCTTCATTATCCCAGTCGGCGCAGATGAGTACGACGTTAAACCACATTTTATTTCATCTGTCAACCTTCCATTTAGATACTGGATGATAGAATATCAATACCAATTGTATTGGTCTACATCCTGGACTAAGGTAGGAGGCGAGAAAGCGTTCTACACCAACACATACCACATTCATAAATTCATTAATAAACACACCGACGAAATATTGATAGTAGCCTAAGGGAGTGATATATCATTCATCTTCATATACCCCCAATACATCAGCTAATAACTTGCCATACAGGAAGTTAAAACACGTTGGACACTACTTGACCAGAACAAAGCTAATATCCTAAGTAAAAAGAATATGAAATGCTGAGGTGCCTACCTGTTACTAGAAGTGAATATACACAAATCAGTAAAATTAACAACATCTTTTCTGTAAATGTCGCCCATTTACTTTCAGTTTCTTAACGTCCGCCTTGTACACGGTTATCCAGTGTCACTTATCGTTTGGTAATATGTACCTGGGTCAGACAGGCGGAAAATATTCTGTGCAATAGACAAAAGTTGATAACTGAAACCTACATATTGTAATATGTATATTGCACGAGTTATGAGTAAGAGGAAAGAAAAAAGTTAAGTTATTTGTGTATGACAAATAATATTAAAGAACAAAAACGGTTACTACGGTTACTTGGTCGAGTTTTTGATAGACCTCATTCACATGTACATGTAGTGAATATGAAATATGTTTGCTTGTTTAAACGATACCTGACCCGTATAGATTAAAATAACTCTCTTTAAAGGGATATTGAATAAATGGAAATATGAATATATTTTAATAAATCTAATCTTTTCGGGACTTCAGCAGGTTTTAATATCGGTCTATTGTGTCTATCAATTCATAGGCCTATATTTAATACTTAAAGATGCATTATGTAAGATTTATATAAAAATAACCCCGACCTTTCGTGCTGTACTAGTTCATAAATAAATAATGTTAAATGAATATTATATTGAGAAAGTCAAATTACTTTAAGCTGGGCGAAGTTATGGGTTTCTGAAGTTTTGGAAAGATGTAGCTTAGATTGTCTCGATTGTCAAGTACTGTTAAGGCAATAAAATTCTCAATGACACATTTTAACGTTGAATTATTAAATGACGCCTGTGTTATAATCCATTTAATATCCCAGCCATCCGATGACCTAGAGATGATTATGGGTTTGTTATGAAAATGAGTGTATAAATAATAATGTAAAATAACATTTGAATCAAGAAAAGAGACCGGCAAAAGGTCGATATAGCTCTTAGATCTTGCATAGTGCATCTTTAAAATAATTTTACTGCTGATCTCTTAAGATATTCTTGTTTTCATACAATTACAATAACTGGGTGCTGATCTCAGGACTTTTTTAAAACAAATATACATTACGTATTGTTTCTTTGAGTGTTTGTATTATATAATTTTATTCGGGGGAGGGGCGGGGGATTTAGTCCGTTTGTGCAGCCAAAACTGTACATGGTGCAAATATTCTGTCAACGTAGATGTTGTTAGCCTCCGTTGATCTATTTATTAAATATCAATTGTCTCATTTCTGACGGACAGGAAGTATTTTACGGATGGTAATAATCCCAGATTGCCCATATCTCGGGTTTTCGTTTTTGGATTCTTTGGACGGATCCCATATGGGCTCTGACCTTTTGGAGAAATACCTATGTTTCGAGTTTCGTTGATATCGGATAAAAATTGTTAGCTGATAATAATTAAAGGGTTTTTACAAACAAATACAAATTGTTACTTTCACAGAGCCCACAAACTAAAATGTGATTGTTCGTAGAATCTGGGGTCATTATCCAGGAAGTGAGAGTCTTATATGCGCTAATTGTAAGTTTCAGCAAAATCGGATAAAAGTTGTGACAATATCTAGAGTATCCACAGCCTTATTTTGCATATATTTGTCAGGATTAAACCAGCATAGATTGTGTTTTCATGAAAAAGGAGATAGAAAAGAAACACAATTTCACTTCATTGCTGGGTAATTTTATTAGCCAGAAAACGCTAAGAAAGTGTCTCCGGCGATCTAGACCCCAAGACCACCCGGGACCATCGCCTAAGGACGTAGGATGGTAGCCCCCACAATTATTAATTGCTTTCGCCGCCCTGTTAAAGTTTATTTACTATTCCCAATAACGACAAATACCGAAATATACAGAAATAAAACTACCGAAAATTACCTTAAAAACAGCATAAAACAAAAGAAAAAATAAAAAGACACTGAAAAACTAGTATTTACCGAGAACGCAAGAAATACTGATATTTTTTTTATCATGATTTTTGGGTGTGAAATATCGCCCATGTTTACGTGGTTTGTTTTTGGGTTTTTTTTTTACCATGCTATGATCTGTAAGGACATGACAGTCCATGTGAAGTTTGCGATTAGTTCGTTTCAGTTACGTCTTTAAAGATCGACTCGTAAATGTTGCGCAGCATATAGTCAAACCGAATAATATACCGCTTGGTACATGCTCACTACACTTTAACTTCAACGATGCATCGCGTGTAGGTCATATGTAATTAATACCATTTAAAGATACGTCTCACAGACATATTCCATTTCAATTGATACAAATAATTTATTCATCACAATAATATCGATATTAAATACTTGATAATCAATAACATGTATTTGTCAACTTCTTTTTCTAACCGCTGAGGGAATTAGCACAATCGCACGACGTTTAACATAATATATAAAGTATGTAGTTATTCTGCATAAAAAAAGTATCCACTTGAACAAAACTATATTATCGTATTATTTCACAACCTTGATATACCATACTTTTACACTATTTGTGTACGAGGAGCGACCATTTTGTCCGGCGATTTCGGTTAGATTTTCACGAAATTCGAACTCAAGTGTCATTATGGTGTAACACACATTGATATAATCGAACGGTATTATAAATCGGACAAAAAAGTGTGACCTACATGTACAACCAGTGGCTATAATGTGCGCGAATATCGGACTGAACCAGAACCGTTGGTTATAAAACAAACATTCCAAGCTTCATCAAAATCGGATAAAAATTGTGTCTTCTAAAATGTCCACAAGCTAAAAACGTAATTTTTCAAACAAATCGAAGTCATTTTCAATATTCAGTTTGAGAACTGCTTTTTCTTAATTTTTGACATTGTAAGTAAATCGGAGAAGTCACAGAAAACCAACAAAATTATGAATTTTGTCAACCAAAGTCCATTACCCATATACTAATAATTTATATAATATGTATACAGTATTAGCTGGTGTTATTTATGTCACCGAAATAATTTATTAAGAGTTCGAGTTTTAGAGCAAAATGGAAATAAAATGGGGATTAACGACCTACTGTTCTGTACTGCTGCCTATTCCAACTACAGACCCAACCCTCTCCCAAGCACTGTTAGTAAACTTCTCGAGCGCATAATACTGAAGCATCGATACAGCTTCTTTCAGTCCAAAAACCAAGTCTGTTTGTAATCGGGATGCAGGCCACAGCACTCAATAGTCCACCAACTTCTTGAATATTTCATGTCGTCACTGAGTTCGAGGACTACAGATTGTCCTTTTATTTTTTCGATATGTATTCGGCTTTTGATAGAGTATAGATCGCCTAAAACCACTTTGTTGTTAGGAAGTTCCCAGGGTTGCGCTTTGCGATAATTCATTTCCTTAGTCTGCATAAATGATATGGAAGATACAATGACAAACATATTCAGATTATGCGCTGATGATACAGCTTTGGGCTGCCATGAAAAAGATCCGCGGTAAAAGATATTGAATTATGTCTAAACCACTTCATATTTGGATGCAAACAAAAGTTTAATTCCCATTCACATTTACCAAATATTATAGTGTAATATAATTGGGGATTTATGTCATATCGAATAATAAGTTATGACCTAAAAGTTATTTGTTTTTTTAAAATGCAATTAACTTATTTTCAATTAATGGTTGAAAATGATGTTTTGAAGACGTATCTGTCACCAACAGATGTTATATCTGTGACGCATTTCGACTAAAGGTCTGTTGTTAATATTAGCACCATAATTAATAATTGGCCAATTCGTTACGTCATTGGGGATTTATGTCATATCGAATAATAAGTTATGACCTAAAAGTTATTTGTTTTTTTAAAATGCAATTAACTTATTTTCAATTAATGGTTGAAAATGATGTTTTGAAGACGTATCTGTCACCAACAGATGTTATATCTGTGACGCATTTCGACTAAAGGTCTGTTGTTAATATTAGCACCATAATTAATAATTGGCCAATTCGTTACGTCATTGGCCATTGTAAACAAATCAGCTAATTAATAACTAGATGTTAGGGTCTATAAAAGACAAAACTTATTCCTGGCTGGTCAGGGAACTATTTCAGTTCTTAGGAGAAACATAAGGTAAGGTTTCAAGAAGTAGCTGCTCTGAAGAGACAGCTGGTTGGGTCTGAGAAGATGAAAGACATACATATATGTAGAATTTTATGTAGACTGGTAAATGTTGTATCTGACTTGATATAAAAAGCATATTTTCGAAAATCTTCGTGCTCTTGATACATATACGATTTGGTTGCCGTTTTAGTATTTGAAGTGGTATCGTCGCCATATTATCGTCTATGGAAAAGTCTCGTTCTAAGATGAATATTTCAACCCATAACAGTAAGTCCGAGATTTGAGAGCTGCGACATTATAGTGAAAGTAATGCCTACTCGATCATTGGTCAAAACAATGTATGTCGATTTGGTAAGCATTGTAGTTTCGGTTCCATGTTCGATCAGTTATACAAATTGAATCAACTACACTAAATATTGTGGCCACATATATTAGCAGGAAGTATTATATTCATCGTTGTGAAACTTTTCAAAAATTCCAATTTGGGTTGGAAAATTCAAAATGTCGACACAATATCTAGTGTAGTTGATTCAATTTGCATGTGAATCCATTTTTTCCTCCAGAGTTCAGGAGGGTTGACATTTGGAAATGTAAGCAAAAAGAAAAAAAAGAAGAAAAAAAAAGGATGCTCGACAAATTTCTGATGACAACATATATGCATAGCTCACCAAATATTCCTACGCCGTCACCCACGAATGAAGGGCGAAAATTATTTTTTGTCTTTCTCTCCCTTTCTCTCTTTTTCCACTTTTGCATGGCGATTTTTGTTGACTTTTTGGTGTAGAATCGAAGAAAACGGTTTGAAAATTCATGATTTTGAGGCAGAAGGATACGAGAGTTGAGTGGCTGGTTAGGTAGAAATGTGGGGCGGAAAATGACATAAACACAGCTAGAATTGTATTCAATCAGTTGTTTATTTGATTAAAAAGTTCGGTTTTGAGATACTTTTTAAAACCTTTAATAGAATTTGCGCTTTTGATTTTGTTTGATATTGAATTCCATAACTTCGGAGCACCGACGGCAAAAGATCTATCGCCAGAGTTCGTTTTTGAAAATGGCTTAATTAAGAGGCTGTCTGGTTGTGATCGAAGGGTTCTGCAAGGTTTATTGGTGTTGAGAAGGTATTGGGGTGAAGAATCGTCATTTAGAGCAGAATACGTACTAGACAGTACTTTAAAATTGATACGTTGACGGACTGGAAACCAATGGAGAACTTTCAGAATTGGTGTCGAAAAAGTTGAAAAGTGAAACGC